GGGAACGGGGTTGAGAAGCCTGGAATGAGGGCGAGGGGGAGGGGGTGGGAAGGGGGTGCGTCTGGCCCGCCCCGCGGGGATTAGGGCGAAGGCGAGTAGGACTTGTGCTGTCCCGTCCCGGCCTCCGTCCCCGGCCCCGGCCCCGGCCTCACCGTTTCTCCAGGTTCCATGCGGATCTTAAACGTTTGTTGCTGCAGCGTCTTCAAGGTGACGGTGACGGCCATGGCTGGGCCGGGCGGGCGGCGGCAGCGACAGCTTCCGTCCGTCCGGTCCGTCCCTCACTCCGTCCGACGCGGCGGCCCCGGGACAGTAGACACACGGGAACATGCAACTCACGCCGCCGCCATCTTAGCGCCCTAAGCCACGCCGGGAACTGCTTCCCGGTCATGCGCGCCTCGTGACGAGACGAAGGAGGGAGAGGCGCGAGCGCAGCGACCCCGATCACGTGACAGGGGTCGATGAACGGAAAAAAAGGGAACTTTCTCTCCCGGTCATGCGTACAGAGGAACCACCTTGTCGTTGTCACAGGGGCAGCACACCTTCCCGCCCCCTCTTCTCCCCTTCTCCCTTGGAGCTTGCGCGCTAGAGGCTTATCTTATGGTGACGTCATTGTTTGGGGTAGCGTCATGTTGTCACAAAATGGCCCCAGGAGATCATAGTGTGATAGATTTAGGGCTGCAAGGGACTTTCTAAGTCCAAACCTTTCTTTTTACAGATGAGGAAATTGAGGCCCGGGGATGTTTCGGTGACTTGTCCAAGGCCACACAGGTAGCAAATGGAAGAACAGCTTCGTTGGTAATGGGTTGTAAGGGTGGTTGGAGCCAGGCTGTTGCATGTTCCAGCTGTCCTCGAGTGCCTCATCTCCATACTTACCTATAAGTCCTTCCCCTCCCAAAAAAGCCTATGTCCTGCGCTTTCAAGAAAATCCCGGTTATTTCAGAAAAACCACCTAGCTTGCATCGCCCTTCTACTTTGCCTCCCTTAATACTAAGGCTTTCACTGACTGCTCTGCCCTCGAGTGAACGAAGCACCTCTCAAGTACTTATCCTGCAAACAACCAGAGATAGACAGGAAATCACGACTCTCCGTGCTGTCCAGGAGTTCACATCCCAGCAGAGAGAGACAACACATAGAGGAGGTTTCATCGGAAAGTCGGATGGTCGCGTCCGGGGTGCAGCAGCAAAGCATCCAATCATTTCATACAATTTCCACGGGTAAAACCATATCCTTTTCTGATGTGGGACCATTTGGCAATGCCAAAGACTTTGGTGGCAAGAATTTTCATCCCTCAGTCTTCAACTGCTGGGGAGACAGGAGGCACAGGTGTGTTAGCATGAAGCAGTTGCCTGTTTAGCACAAGGATTGACTCCCTACACAATGGCTTTAGGGCTTGAGCTGTCAATACACCTAGCTTGGCTTCAGGTGACGCCACACTTTTTAAGCACTCTCCCACCTCTGTGATGCCTCTAGATTTTTGTCTATCCAGGGCCTAGTTCAGCATTTTTACATTGTAGTCACTTGATGTTTATTGAATTCCATTGACAGCCTTAATATCAAAGAGTCTAGTTGGGGGGAAATGTGATGGAATATCTCTTCTCACCTCAACTGGTAGAAGTCCTATCTTCCTTCAGAGCTCGGGCATGCCACGTCCCCGGGAGGCCTTTTTTGTTCCCCCACCATTTGTTAGTTCTCTCTCTCTAGAAATTTCTTGTTTTTACTTATCCAGGGATGTGCTGGTAAATTTTTAACAACATACCCTGGAAAAAAACGTAACACAACACACTTTTACGTTTAATTTGCATTATTAACATTTTCTTCATCACTTCCTTAAGTCTAAAGCAGTGATATCAAACTCAGTAGAAATGGTAGTCACTGAACTACATATGAATCCCTGCAGGAAACATAGTGACTAAGAAAACCATATATTAATATTATCTACATTTTATTGTATTTTTATTTATTTTGCAAAGTATTTCCCAATTACATTTTAATCTGGTTCAGGCCGTGTTCAGGAGTGTTGTGGGCTGCAGGTTTAGTGTTTGATACGTCAGGTCTAGAGTATTAGCAGCAAAACAATAAATCACATTTGCTAATTTTTGAGGTATAAATGCACACGCTGAAAATTTAACAATCAATTTGATTGGCTTAATACCTGCAGTACATCCTTGCTTATAAATGAACATGTATCTCCCATAGAATGTAAGCTTTTTGAGAGTTTCTAGCATCTAGAACAGTACATTGTTGCTGCTGCTGTTGTTGTTAAGGAGTTATTTTAGTCTTGTCCTACTCTTTGTGACCCCATTTGGGATTTTCTTGGCAAAGACACTGGAGTAGTTTACCATTTCCTTCTCCATCTCATTTTGCAGATGAGGAAACTGAGGCAAATAGGGTGAAGTGACTTGCCCAGGGTTTAGTAAGTGTGTGAGGCCAGATTTTAACTCAGGAAGATGAGTCTTCCCAACTTCAGGTCATTCTATCCACTGTGCCATCTTGTCAGCCTTAATAAATATATTTGTCAAATTCCATTCTAGTTCATCTCTTTCTCATCCACCAGCTTGCTAAGTTCACTGAGTAAACATATTAATGAATGAATGAACAAGCATTTTATTAAGCACATGCTACTCGACAAGCATTGTATTAAGTACCAAGGATACAAATACAGCCCGGCTAGATTCTAGTAAGAGACAACTGACAAGGGGAATTTGTGGCCAGGGAGGGACACTTGGTTCTAGAAAGTATAGCAATATTTAGCTTATCAATTGTGACCACTACTAATTTTCTCAAACACACAAATGAGAGTTCCTGACTTCAGGGAGGGTACAACTTAAGAGCAGGTATACAATATAATAGATAGTTGTATTGTAGCGAAAAAGGGCAATGAAGATAAAATTAGGGGAGACTTGAATCTTGATTCTGCCTGGCCCCTGGGTGAACTTTGATGACCCTTCTCATCTCTGGGACACGGTTTGTTTCCTCATCTACAAAATGAAGGCTGGGAGTAGGGCTCAAGGACCTTGAAGGACACTACAATAATGGAAGGGGGTTCAGAGGCCATCTCATCTATCCCTGCTATAATAACATCACTAACAAGTGGCTCAAAGGCCCCTAGTGAAGAGAAATCCACCACTGCTTTGGGATAGCTCTACTTTTTAGGAAGTAACTTCCATCCAGTGATCCCAGTTCTGGGCCCAGGGGTCAAGCTTAACAAGCTCTCTGCTTCTTGAAGGCCACATATGCCCCACCCTACCTATCTCCTTCCCTCATGTGGATCCTCATTATCCTGTTTGTTGACCTCATTTGGATGCAGTCCAGCTCACCTTCCTTTGCTAAAATGTGGCACCTCTTTGGAGCTGCTAGGTGGCACAATAGATACAGAGAGCTGGGCATGGAGTCAGAAAGACTTGAGTTCAAATTCCAATCTCAGACTCTGTTCAGCAAGTCACTTAACCTGTTTATATCAGTTACTCCATCTGTAAAATGAAGATGATAATAGCACCTACCTCCCAGGGTTGTGAGGATCAAAATGAGATCACCGTAAAACACTCTTTCCAGGCTCTCCTTTGGAGACCTCGTCTGCCAGATCAGCTATTATTCCTAGGTCTCTCTCTGGACTTGTTCAGTCCCCTGTGCTCCCTCCTCTCTAGTATTTGCTAGCAGTCTACACAGCTTGAGGCCCAGTAGTCCATTCAAACCCAAGCCTAGTACCAAATTCTCCCAACCTCCTAATCTTGACAATGGCTACACCCTCTTTAGGATCCTCATTCGGGGACTAGGGCCTGAGTATTGTTTTCACTTTCATTTCTTCCATTCAAGCAACTTAATGCCTGCCATGCACAAAGCAGTCTATGCTGAGCCGTGGTGATAGAAACAGCTCTCAACTTCATAACCTAATACATTATAAATATCTTGATCACAACACAAGATAAAAAACAGTCCTCTTCCCATCATTCTGGCAAGAAATTAGAATTATTCCAAGTCACCAAACTGTGTATGTATACATACCCTTTGATATAGCAATCACTGGAATGTATGCCCCACCACCTACCCACCGCACTAAGTGGTCAAGAGGGAAAAGGACCCATATATTAAAAAAAAAAATTCATAGCAGCACTTTTTATTGTGACAAAAAGATGGAAATAAAATGGGTGCCCCTCATTTGGGGATGTCTTTCTGCAAAGGACTGATTGAGGAAAAAAACCTAGAAACTTGTACATAGTAATGCAGAGCGCAGAGGGCCAGAATTTATGTGCTGACAATAAAGAAAAACAATTGTGAAAGACGAAGCACTTTATCAACTAAATGACCAGTGATAACTGTAGAAAACTTAGGAACAGGCCTCCCTTGGCAGAGTGGACAATGGACTGTAGTGTAGAATGAATATACGTTTTCAGACATTGCCATTATATGAATTTTTTCCCTTGACTATGTTATCACCAGGGAAGGTGGAGAGTTTTGTGTTGGGAACTGGTGGGTTGTGATACTGATGGAAAAAAAATTTAGAATAGAGTATCCATAAAAAATAAGTTATCCAGAAGAGAGCTCGTAAATGGACACAGTTATTATCACATTAAATCTTACTTATAAACTCAGCAGTTAACTTTTATATACCTTCTGTTTTATATATTAAAAGTCATGTTTGTTAGGCTCATGATATGTTTTGTTCACAGGTCCTCCCAAAAAGCTTTCCTTTGTAATCTAGTCTTTGGACTCCTGGAGTGAGGTCATGGACCAAGGTCTCTCCAGTTGTCCAGAACTCCGAGCCCTACACAACACAGGTGGGGAAAGGAAACAGACCAGAGGCAAAGGCCAGAGACAACGAAATTGTTCCATCTTCTCTGGCCAGAGCAGCCACCAGACAGATGCATCATGCTGACCAGAACAACCCCAGGGATCTGTCTGTTCCACCCCACCAGCTCGGAGCTGGGCAGCAATTCAGACAAGTGGGAAGCTTACACTGCTTCTCTCTCCAAGCAATCAAACACATGAGGGAGACACAAAACTTAATTTAATAGAAATTTCTTTTTTGTTGTTCTTACATTCTCAATGTGACCAAGCAAGAACTGACACCCCTTCCCTACCCACCCACCAACAGGGGCTCTGCCCCCACCCCTGCCCTCAGCCCTGGCAGAGGGAAAAAAGGGAGCAAAGAGTTTGGCTTAGGCACTATTGGCCAAACCCTAGCGCCCCTCAGTGCTATGGGATACCTAAGGGCAGGGCCAGGCTGACAGACCCCTCCCCTTCTCTCTGGCTCCTGAGGATGGGGAAAAAAACAAAGGAGCCGGGACTTGAGGCCAATTGGGGAAAGGAGGCAGCTTAGGATCAGAAGTCTCTAGCCCTGGGTAGTCAATAGGGAGGCTGAGCATCCATGCACTGATGCCCTGGATCCCCATACCCCCGAGCCCATGGTTGAAGAGTGCCCCACGCTATCTGCCATCCCCAAGAGGCTGATGGGGACAGAGAGACCTTGAGGGAGAGTGGATGAAGACAGACATCAGTTTAAAAAACAACAAAAACAAAAACACCCAACCCCAAACAAACAACCCCACCCATTGGAAACAGTTCTCCAGTCTCATAGAGACATTAGTTGGCTCCCGGCCTGGCCCCCCGGGGTGCTCCCAGCCTCAGTCCTGGCCCTGGCCAGGTAGGCAGCAGCCCCCTACAGCTCATCCTTGGGCTGGGCACCATCCTCATCTTCCTCATCCTCCTTATCGTCCTCTTCTTCATCCTCTTTGTCCTCTTCGTCCCTGTCCTCATCATCCTTGTCCTCTCCAGCCTCTTCTTCCTCCTTCAGCTTTTTTTCCTCTTCTTCCTCACGCTGCCGTTCAGCCTCATCCTGCTGTTCCTTCATCTTCTTCTCCGCCTCCTACCAGATGCACACAGCTCCGCCTCAGAGCCTGTTCTCCCCACCCCACCCCTGTCCCAATCCCTCCTGCCTCTAGACTCTATGGTATCTGAAAGTAGTACTGGGCCTGGAGTGGGAGGCGGGGGGCAGAGAAAAGTCCTCCCAGAGAAGTCTAGCCTTCTTTCACCCCAAATGGAGATGACCCTTGCACTGCATCCTTCCCTTAAGGAAGGAGTTACCTTTGTGGCCCCCCAGGTCTCTTCACCAAACTCTTCTGCATAGGACTCATCATTGGTGACAAGGAAGTTATCAAAGATGGTACCAGATTTCACCTACAAACAGAGAAAAGGGTCAGCGAGATAGGGCCAGAACTCCCCACTTTACCCCTGGCAGAGTGCAAAGCAGTATCCCAGATTCAGTGACGTTTTCCTCACCTGCCACAGGTCCAGGCCCAAAACTCCAAAGCTGTCATATGCATAAAGGTTGGGGTCAGGTGTGTACTCAGGATTGTCAATCTCAGGATGCAACCACTTGCCCTTGTAGTCAGGATTGTCAATCTGCCGGGGCTTCCATTCACCCTGCAGAGGGGATTGGGAAAAATGACACGGGGTGCCATTCCGCCCATTGTCCTCCCACTCTCCAGGTCCCATCAGGCAACCTCCCAACCTTACCTTGTACTCAGGATTCTGGATCACTGGTGGCTCCCACTCCCCATCCATCTCTTCATCCCAATCCTCAGGCTTCTGAGCATCAGGGTCAGGAATGTGTTCAGGTTTCTCCCAGTCCTTGGGATCAATAAGTAAATGCCATCAGATCTCTAGAAACCCTTTCTCTCCCAGTTGGGGGGTAGAAGGAAAAGGGAATGGGAAGGGATGCATGGTCACTGGACAGGGATTAGCCAGGAAGAGTTCCCAACTGCAAGCAACCTACATCTGGCTTTGTGTCTGTGGGGTCGTCAATCTTGGCTCGCTCATCCCAGTCCTCAGGCTTCTTGGCCTCAGGATCCTTGATCTTCTTGGGAGGCAGGAAGTCCCAATCATCTTCCAGTGAGCCTGACTCTGCTTGAACATTGTCTATCTTTACTTCATATGTGTTGTCTGGCCGAACAATCAGGGTGTACAGGTGGGTGAACTCATCATCCTATGAGCAGTGGGAGGACAGTAGTTAGGAAGGAACAGTCTCACAGGACTTGGGCCCTTCCCTCTGCCTCACCATCTGTTAGATCGCTTACCTTGCAACGAATGTCTTTATTGATCAGCATGTTCTTGCCTTTGTAGTTAAAGATAACATGAACCTTCTTGGTTCCTGGGCCGCAGATGTCAGGGCCTGAAGAAGGGAGAATGGAGGGACTGATCAAAGAATCCAGGGCTCCTCTCTCCCAGTTTCCCAGTCACTGTGAAGGGCAAGTGAGAGGGAGGGACCCTGGGGTCAAGTCCCTTTCCTTCCCACTGATGAGACAGCTAACCTCAGCCTCTCATCTTAGGCATCTCTGTGCCCAGAATCACAGCAGGAGTGGAGAACAATCCTAGGGACACTTACCAAACATGATGTTGTACTCCGAGTCTCCATGCATGCTGGCCTGGTCTAGGCCGGCAGGGAACAGCTTCACGTAACCACCGCCACAGTCAATGTTCTGCTCATGCTTCACGGTGAACTGTACCACCAGCGTCTGACCCTTGTTGCTGAAGGGCTCCATGCGTGAGGACAGGGCATAGAATCTGGCATCCTGACTTGTCTGTAGCCCTACAGGCATGGTGAGAAAGTTGCCCCCAGGGTAAGTAAGGGGTCTCCCGCCTCACTGCTCACCACTCTCCTTCCAAACCTTAGCCAGCAGTCAGTCATACCCAGTCTTCTGTCCCAGGTCCAATCCTGACTCCCACCTCCTTGACATGGATGGGCTCAGCCTCAATGGAATCAGAGGAACTTTCAGAGTTGGTAGGTACCTTAAGAGACCTAAACCTAACCCTTTATACTAATTCTCTCACTTTATAGATGAGGAAATTGAGGCCTAAATTAAGAAAAGGGCACTTCTCCAATATTACACAGAACTGGAGTTGGTCCAGCAGAGGCAGCCCCCTTACCTTTGTCCTTTTCTTCATCACCATAGAACTTCCCAGAGGAGAGCCTAAACTTGCCGTAGTCATTCTTGTGCTTGGATTCCACCCAACGATCCTCCCAACCATCTGAGGAGAAAAGAAAGTTAGTGTCCTCATGTTGTGGAAAGAATCTGTGACCATCTTTCTACCCCTGTCCATCATGACCTAGCCTTCCAGAGAGCTGAGCATTCCCAAGGAACTCTGCTCATTCTAGAGAGCTCCAACAACCATCTCCAGCTAGATAACATACAGTCTCAGGCCCCCTGAATGTCAGAATTGTAAAGGACCTTTTAAGGCCATCTGGTCTAAATTCCTTCATTTTGTGAATGGGGAAATTGGGTCCTAAAAAAAAAAGGAAAGGGCTTATACAAGGTCAACAAAGCACTGAGGCAGGATTTAGGGCTGAAATGCCACCAGCCTCTTCATTTTACAGTGAATAAAAAGCAGAGCCCTGGAAATGGAAGTGATTTCCCTGGCGCCTGGCTTTACGCACGTTCCCAAGGGCATGTTTTAACTCTCCAGGAACCAACCCCGCCTCCCACCCCCCACCCTAGGTTTCCATGGGCACAGACAGGATCAGAAGCAAAGAGGGTGCTCCAAGCTTCAGGCTGGGCCCCGGGGTCTCTGTCCTGTGGACCCTCCCTGCTTATCATCCCCCCCCCCACCCCGAAGCATCAGACTCAGCACAGGCTGGAGAAGGTGTCTAGGGAGATAAAGGCCGTGGCCGGCGGCAGGTGGCTGCAGGAGGGATGGCCCGAGGGACCCAATGTTGGCCACCCTCCAGGCTAATGGGCCCCCGGGGAGGGCAGTAGCCGCCACACGGGGAGGGGCGGGGATGCGGCGCCGTCCCAAGGGGACTCTGCCGGCCGCAGCGCCTCCCACGCTCCTGGGATGACAAGAGCGGCCGGGGCGCGACCCCCTCCCCTCCCCTTCCCCCGTGACAGCAGCAGGCGCGGGTGCGCGCGGGCCCTCCAACGTCCCCTCACCCCGGCGGGAGGTACCCTAGCCAGGAAGTCCCGCTAGGGCGGGCAGGGCCCGGCAGTGCGGGCGAGTTACTTGGGAGGGCCCGGGGCGCCCCGAACGGGGCGGGGCCGCAGGCCCGAGCTCTCCTCGTTTACCTCCGTCGAGGAACTGCTCCTTGAAATAGACCACGGGCCCAGCGGCCTCGGCCAGGCCGAGCAGGCCCAGCAACAGGAGCGGCAGCATGACAAGAAAAGTCAGATAGGGGCGGCTGGGACCGGGTCCGGACACAGGATCCGCAGGGAACAGGAGCACTCCGGCTCTGCAGTAGGGACAACCGCGGCCGACCACCGACCGCCTTTATACCCGGCCCCCCTCAAACCAACGCCGCCCGGCCCGTGGGCCCGCCCCCTAAGCCCTCCCATTGGCTCCGGGACGCTCAAGGCCCCTCCCGATTGGCCCCGAGCCGGCGCAGCACTTTAGGCTGCGCCTCGGAACGCTGGGTTCCCAGATGGCCGCTTTCTATTGGCCACAGCCACGAGCCAATGAGGAACGACCACGCGTTGTGGGGGGGACGCCTACAGCTCCTCTTGAAGGGGGAGGGAAGCCAGGACCTGGTTCGAGCCACGTGACAAGTTGGCCAGTCCCTCCTCCCTTTTCCCCAAATCTCCCGTCTCCAATTTACCCTCCTTATTCACCGGTTTCTTAAAGGTCGAGGTGGGCTGGGCGGAAGAGAAGAGGTCAACTCTTGCCCCCCGTTCCAACCCCAGGCCTCTCTCCAGAGCTTCCTGGAATCCTTCAGCTCAGGAAAGGGGCCCTTCTTGTGCCAGACCCCCCCCCCATGGGGTCCCAACCTCAACCTTAAACCCTTCTGGCCAGCAGTATTTTCCCATGGGACCATCCACATGACCCCTGGGGTCTTATCTCCTCATCTCAGCCTCCCAACCTGGAAGTCCCAGGAACGGGAGGTTCCTGTGCTCAGCCACAGGCACTGTCCCCAGCCCTGCTTCAGCTCCAAAGGCTCCATCCACCTACAAGCATGAACGGTGCCAGGTCAGATCCTGGGTGGCAAATGGGTGCTGCTCAGAGGTCTGGGGCTAAGCCCCAGCTGTGTGACCTTGGTTCTGTCATTCAGCTTTCAGACTCAGGCTTAATCAGGACTTATACCAGACTCTCAGTCAGAAGGTTAATTCTGGGGGATTCTTGGGAAGAATGTGGGGAGTGATTGTCATATGTGACTGACTGGCAGGACAGAGCAAAACTTAGTTGGGTACACAGAATTTTGAATTTAGAGTCAGATGACCTCGGTTCGAGTGAAAGGAACCTCATTTTTCATATAAGGAAACAGCTACAGAAAGCAAAACACTTGTTTAGAGACCACCATACAGAAAATAACAAAAGTGAAATTCAAACACAGATTGTCTGGACTGAAAAATGCCTGACTCTTTCTATGACCATGCTAGTTCTGCCCCAGATGTACTTAGAGCCTTGTGACCTTGGGCAACTCCCTACCCTCTTTGGAGCTTAATTTCTTCATATGTAAAATGAAGGTTTGGATTAGCTGCTCTCACTGACTCCTAGAGTAGGATTAGAGTTTAGAGGTGACCTAATCCAATCCATATTTGAACAAGAATACTCTGGACATTATTTTTGACTAGTGATCACCTAATCGAAAGTTGAAGCCCCCTCCTCCTCATCCAAAGTTTTGATGCAATACTTTTATGTCTTGGCTCCTTCAGACACCAGAAGCCTGCTAGTGGGACTGACCAAAGGATCCTTTTTTATCCTCACACTCTGTGTGGCTCCTCTACCATTATGCAAGAGGCCTTTGTACTTGGGGGAACAGGGGCAAATGGGCACTGTGGTCTTCCACAAACTGCTGAGGTTTTGTAACCCAAACGGCTTGGCCTGCTTGAGTGGGGGGCTGGGGAGCCAGAGAAGGAAAAAGAGGCAGACTGTGTTGGCAAGATAAGGTCTGGGAGGGGAATAAAAGAGACTCAACTGCCATGAGGGACCCCTTCTGGCAACAGCTGTAATTCCTTTCCTCAAGTTCTGGGCTGAGCCCTCTGGAATCAACCAATCAACATTTATTAATTGTCTACTATTTGGTAGGCACTGGGGAAACAGACAAAATGAAACAATCCCTACACCTGGTAAATAGGAAGAAGAAAAGAGGCCCGGTGCCAGACATACCTGTTCCTCTAAGACACATGGTCTCTTGGAAGCTTATCAGAACCTAAGGCTGGGCTCAGCCCAGACAATAAGACTGTGACAAAGTATGTCGTCCTGGGCTAAAGGGTTCAGTATGGTGGTCCAGTGTTATTAGGATTTAATATTGGAAGGCCCCTTAGTCCACTTTACCCATTTTATAAATAAGGAAACTAAGGTTGACAAGGGCAAATTAATTGTGTGAGGTTACACAGGTAACAGGTCCAAGATTTGTGTCTAGTAGCTAGGTCTCATGAATTCAAATGCCGGGTTCTACTGCACCCCTGCTGCCTCTTGAGAATTCAGCCTGGGGTTGGAAGCTGTGGGGTGGGGTGGAGAAATTCACACTCAGCATTAAAAGGCTGTGTCAGGACAAATTATAATAATTTACAGTCAATTACAGGAGAGGGAACAACTTAGGAAAAAAAAGCCTCATTAGTGCAAGCAAGAAAAAGAGAAAAGAGTAGTTTAGACTAGTGAGTGGCACGATCTCTTAGATAAAAGCCAAAAAAAAGGTCACTAGGTTGGGAGAGGGATGGCCTCAGGGCCTAAAGGCTTCTTCATTCCAACTGTATTCCAACACAACCTGCTGGTTCTGCAGGACAGGTGTGAGAGGCGGAGTCTGAAGCAGGGTGGGGAACCTGCAGCCTCGAGGCCATATGTGGCCCTCTAGGTCTTCAAGTGTGGCCCTTTGACTGAATCCAAACTTCACAGAACAAATCCCCTTAATAAAAGGATTTGTTCTATGTCAAAGGCCACAGGTAGCCTCCAGGTTCAAAGCAAGAGATATGAGAATTCTTCCTTACACCTTCCCAGAGATTCAAGCCATGTCCACCCAAAGGCAGTGTTGTCAGAAGAGCAGAGTTCTAATACTGGTACTACCATTTGCTATTTTTGTTTAGTCACCTTTAGTCTGGGTCTCTATTTCCTCATTGGTCATAATTGAGCATTCCTCATCCAGATGATTAATTACTGCAAAAACTACAACCCAGGGTGGTTTGAAGGAAAGTGCTTTATAGACCTTAAAGTATTATGGAAATGTAAGTTGTCATTACTGTAAATATTAAGATAGTAAGGACTAGGTAGACTTGTTAACCCTCTATGGGTATAGATCCTGTCTCCCCAGCAATATGGGGGATAAATGGGGGGAGGTATAATAGAAAGAGTCCAGTTTGAGCATGAGCAAACCTCAGTTCTAGTTCTAGCTCTGCTATGTGACCTTGTTAATTGACTCCTTTCTCTCTGGGCCTATTTCCCTACCTGTCAAATTCAATTCAACAATTCAACAAACATTATACAAATGCTTACAATGTGCAAGGCACTGACCATAAATAATCCTTGAACCCTGCTAACCCAACATCACTACTGTGGTTTTTAAGTGAAATTACAATGACCTTAGTTTCTCACCTATAAAACAAGGTTGGATTCCGTGGCCTCCGAGATCACTTACAGCTCCAGCTCTATGATCTTTGTAGAAAAGTACTTTGGATATTGCAAAATATCTTAACAGCCATAACTCTCTCCTCACCTCAACCCATCTGGCACCAAACACAGGGCCAGGCACACAGTAGGTAGCTGGTACAGACAGTTCTTGCTTTAGGTAAGTGGACTCTTTGGCAGACCTCTATGTATAATGATTTTTACATAATGCCAATTTGCCCCTACCTACCCATTTCAGTTAGACTGTATGACAAAAGTATACACAAAAATAATACCTTAACATGTCATAAAATACACTAAAATGCAGATATATCAAGTATTGTACCATGATAATAAACAGAATCATAAAATGAAAGGTAAAGTTAATGATAAAGTATGCACAGTACTATACAGTCAAGTTAACATAAGTGTGCAAAATATGGCCCCTTTCCCATCCACTGCACTTCGCCTTTATCACTGGGGGTTGTCTGAGCAACTATTTTTATGAAACTATGGAGAAATGTTTGGGCAGTGCTCCCTTTTTTTCCCCTCATATATCTGATGATAGCAAGTAGTATTATCCTCAACTAGTCTTTGAACTGTTAAAAATCTCAAAGTAGTTGGATCCATCTTTTCAATACAAGAAAAAAAATCACTCAAATGATGAAAGGCTTCTGCTAACTACTCCATCTCAAACCTTTTTGGTTCAACCTCAGGTCCCAAAGCTTCTCTTTCTTCTTCTGCAGTCTTTGCAGCTAGCGGCTCAATCAGATCCTCATTCAAATTTCTTTTAAAATTCTTTACTAAAGTCGAATATCCAATGTTAATATACATAAAGCAAGAACTGTCTGTAATGACCGACTAAAAAGCCCTCAGAGCATCAGAACCCAGAGAACTTTAATGAAAACAACAACCCTCATTTTTGTAGTGCTTCAAAGTTTACAAAGCACAAGGACTCTGTGACAAGGGTAGGAAAGGAATTATTTTACTGAAGATGGGGGAAGAACCTGGGGGTCCCAAGGAATTCTGAGGTCACAGGGAGGGAGCCAGCACAGGCAGCCAGATCTCTGGCTTCCAGCCCTGCCCCAGGCCAGGCAGGAACTAGTGTGGAGCTGGGGCAGGGGCTGGTGGTCTCTCTGCTCCAGAATCCTGGCTTGTTTCTTTGTGGCACCAGGGTCCCCGGGGGCATGCACAGGCTGGGTTCTCCCTAGGCATTGGCCCTGAAGCTCTCTGCCTGCCTACTCTGGGTCTGGGTCTGGCTCCTTGGACTTGGTGAGCTACCCTGTGGAGCTCCCAGGTCAAAGGTCAACGTGGGCTTTGGCTGGCAGCTGGGTGGGGGCGAAGACGGGGGGGGGGGGGGGGTGGCCTGGACCCAGGAGGTCGGTGCTAGGGGACACAGCACGAAGAGACCCAACAAGGAGAGGCTGCCCTTCCCCTCTCCGACTGTCTTCCACTCTGCCTCAATTGCCCCTCTCACCCCGCCTTTCTCTTTTCTCCTTCTTCGTCCTAGCCCAATGTTGGCGCATCTGACTCACTCAAGATGGCAGACCGAGACGAGTACTCCTGTCACGCCACACCCAAGGTGGCGGGTCTCGCTCTTCCGGTCTGGGGCGCTTCCGGTTCCGGTGTTACTCTTCCCATCCTCACGGGGCAGACATGGCTGACGGGCCGGTTGCTCAGTTGCTTTTGCAGCGGCTGGAGGGCGGCGATGGCGGCCTGGACAGCCTGGAGCTGGCAAGCGCGCTGGGCCTGGAGCACCAGGTCGTGGTCGGCGCCGTCAAAAGCCTGCAGACGCTGGGGGAGGTAAGGCGATGCGGGGGCTGCGGGCTAGGGCAGGCTGATGCAACCGGGCAGGGGCCGGCGGGACGAACGGGGCGGCCACATGTGGGGCTGGAGAGCGGCCAGGTGCCGAGACGTGGGGACTGGGACCAGGCAGGAGGAGCAGCCGCATCCTGGAGATGGAGGACCGCGTCCTGGGGGTGGAGGGCCAGGGATGGGGCAGGAGGAGGGA